TTTATATTTTTAAATAAGGTATTGTGTGAAAAAACTCCATATCAAGCATAGTTTTGAAACATGGCTCAACCCTATTGGTTAAGCTAATTAAAAATAATAAAATATATCAAAAAATAATTAAAAATAATAAATTTATATTTTTAAATAAGGTATTGTGTGAAAAAACTCCATATCAAGCATGGTTTTGAAACATGGCTCAACCCTATTGGTTAAGCTAGTTGAACTTAAGGCTATGTTACAAAAATGAGTCGTGTATATGCTCCAACCCATTTTGAATAAAAACCCGACAAACCCAGCCAACCCAATAAATCCATTGGTTAAATTCTGTCAATTTCAAAATCTTTTTTTTAAAAAAAATTTTAAAATTTCTATGTTTTATGCATTTTATTTTTTTAATTACATGTATTTAATTAAATTTAGCTATTTAAGTTGCTTTTAAAATAATTTATAAGTTATTTTGAAGGTGATTATATCTTGAAAATAAGATAATATCAATATATAATAGTAAAATATATTAAAAAATATTTAAAATGTCAAACTAACTAATTAAACGGTTGAACCAAAATTTGGTGCTAAAAAGAGGTCAATCACCGAGTTAGATTTTAAAACATTAGTATGAAGTCTCTTTATCCTTTCTTTCAATAATTTCTACGGAGAGTGCCACTTGTACTCAATTTTATAATACAATTTTAATTCATCTAAAACAAAAGAAAACATTAGTATGAAGTATTATGAAACAAAGTTTATATCTACTTTGAACCTAAGGTCAACTAGTTCAAGTAGCAACTAGCCAATTGCATTGAATTTAAAGGGTGACTTAATTGTCTAAAAGTATAAGATTCTAAATTGGAGATTTCATGTTAAAACCTTGAGTCAATTAGAGAAGGATTTAAGAAAAAAAGAGAATTATTTGTTCTTGTATAACCCATCATCAAATATACTAAAAAATTGAAAATTTTGGTTAAAAATAAAATAAACAAATTACTATAGACCCAATCATTATATGTATTTGGTATCTTAGCCTTTGTAGGAGATAAATACAAAGCATGGGTTATATTTTTCTTAATGATAATTGTTTGACATATTTATTTGATAATTTTTTTAATCTCTCTTTTAAAGATATATTTATTATTTTTTTATGCTTCAAACAAATATATTTTTTTATTATTAATTGTTATAAAAATAAAATTAATTTAAATTTTACTAATTATCTAATAAAAAACATTCATATAAATTTTTGTTAAAATTAAAATTAATTTTTATTTTTTCAAACAAATTAATAAAAAAACATAATAAATAAATCCTTAAAGGTTAGAAAACCCTTTATTTATCCTTCACCCTAAACACTAAGGTTGTCAAAATTGAAACTTTAGGTAAAATCATTTTGATGAGATAAAATCAGAATCGTAAAATTGAATCGGTAAAATTGAGAGTTGATTAAATTAATTTAAA